AATGTCAAAGTTCCCAACCTTCGGCCGACGATAAATCAACGTTAGCATGCGCGACCCGACTCGTCCCACGGCCTCCTTCACCCTGACACTGACCCAGACCCCAACCTTGACTCGACGAAAATATTCACCGATGCCTCACATAAAGAACATAATAAGAAACGTTTTTACGAATGTTTCGATTAATACCTATGATATGCGAAAATAATTCAGTTTCGTCGGATTTGCATATTTCAACCGGTTCTGAATGAATAATTTTTGAAGTTGGACCAATGCTTGTTTGTTTATGTGGTATTCATAAAAATTTAAGTATATATTATATTTTTATTCAAACTATAAAATGCTGTGCCATATTAATTTTCATTTGTGGCATTTGAATCTAGATCCATATTAAAGTAACTTATTTCCACATCACTAAAAATTTTTCTATTCTTATTTTATTTTCGAGCTCATTACTTTAGCATGTTTCTCTCATAGATGTTGTATGTAACTCAGACCACAAATACCATAAACGCTAAAGTGTATTTTTATTATTCTAGTTTAGGTCAGTCTGTAGGCTAAAATGTCATTTAATCCGACTTCAAAAGGGAGGAGGTTATTAATTTGACTGTATGTTTTTTTTTAACAATTTTATAAAATACAAAACACACATCAAGTTATGGGAGAGGAATAGCCTGAGGTTAATAGAAATAATAAACAAATTTGCGCCTATACATAGACAATCATACTATGATTTTATAAAATATTAAAAAGACACTTCTTCTGTTGTAGATTCGTCCCTTCTGTTTTCGATCTTCAAAAGACCCACAAACGCATTACAATTTACTTCTCTTTGCCCTGCTTTGTTCACCTTCTACGTACATATTTTAATACAAAAAGTTTTCATCCCTTACTTCTACAATGAGCATGACCGTTGTATTGTCGCTATTTCCTGTGTGAAAAAATGAGCAGAGCTGCAGGTCAGGTAACTAACTTTTTTTGATGGTCAGGTAAGTTGGGGGCGCAGTGTCCTTTCTCGGAATTTAAGGGTGCATTGAGTGCTTTTTGCAAAATACAAATCGCACTAGGCAAACAATTTGCCTGCGTATTGCAAAGGTCTATGGCTGATAATTCTATGCATGTCAGTTTTGTATTTCGTTACGTTATTTGGTAATTTAACTCTGTACTCGTCAAGTTAAGACTCGTGTTGGGATTTGACGACCTGATGTAAAATTTTAAGGTACATAAACCTCGTTTAGGATTCAGGTAGATGAAAATTTTGAACATAAATATTTCAAGAGTATATAAGTAGATTAACTTAAGTAATTTAGTATATTTAATTTTATTTCTTGCACGTTTGGAACTTTATAAGTTACTTAACGTACTTTTTATACTTTACCTAACCATTATTAGCTCAACAGTGCTCCAAATAACGCTTATAAAAATAGCCTATAGGCACTAAGCTGCAATGGGTAGATGGGGTGGACGCAGAACTGATAAGTTCAGAAATGGGGCGGTGAATTCTTTTTTACAATACTAAACAGTCCACACATGTTGACTGGACACGATGTTCTATTGATATCTACATCTATTATCGATAAGGATTCAAAATAAAGTAACATTGTTAACTCTAAGAAGATGAAATGCTTCCAGAAATGGCCAACAAAAAACAGTAGCATTTATATATAGCGATTTATGGCTACAGCACGAATGGGTCGGCTTGATCGATGAACAAAATGCTCGTCCAGAATAACAGGACCTATTTGCGCTGCAATCATAATGCGCTACACCATAGCACTACATTGTAAATACACCACTACCAACAGTTTGTGGGATTAGGGTTCGATATTTTCCATTATCTCACTGGAAGTTCTAACGATGCGTCTTTAAACTGTGGACCTTTTGTTCGCAAATATCCGAGTTCTAATTCCACACGGTCCTTGTCAACCTTTTTTACCTGTCATTTGGCAGACCCTTCCTCATTTGAAGTTCCCGACGCGACCCTTTCTTACACCTAATTGGCCCCATCTCGGCCGGTAAAACCTTTCTAATTTGTGCCACAAGGGTTATTGTATTTGTGATTTGGCGCCGAAGGTTAGATTTTACGTGAAAAAATGTGAAAGTTTGGTAAAGGACTGAGAAAAAAGGTGCTTACTTATGGATTTTATGTGTATGATTTTGTAAGGTATTATTTTTGTTTGAAGTTTTATTTATTGATTTCTTCAATTTATTTAGTTTAGGCACGTGTAGTTATTATATATAGTTAAGAAACATGAGTAAAAATAAGTAGAATTAGTTGGAGCTATACTCCATAGTATAGTGTACAAATAATAAATAGTCACCTCAGATGGGAGATATTCTAAAATATACATGCAAATCTTTATCATAAGATTAGCTTTTCTCTAATATATTAAAAAGAGTAGGTTCATCATCATCACCAGCCCGTAATATTTCACTGCTGGAAACGTGCCTCTTCTATTGTAGGGAGGAGAGAAGGGCACACGGTTGGCAGATTGTAGATTGCAATACCAGAAGTGACCACGCATCTGCGCGACGCTGCTGGTATATTAAATCTAGAGTAAACGAGTTATTTATACTGCCATCTACCGGAAGTTACAATACGTTTTTATTATTTCGCAAAATCGCTCTTATAACACCCACGGGACGAAATGGGGTGGTAATCGATAGATCTTAAAAGATAGATATGTTTTACAATTTTTAATATTAATTTCAGAATTTGATACCATAAAAAGTTTTGAATCTATCTGCTACTTTGTTTATGTTTCAATTTATAATCCAATGATGTTTAAATCTAATACATAATATGGTTAGACTCACTTTCTATTCTACAAAATAACGTCTAATGTTACTATCTTGCTTAAATATGAAGGTACCCAATTTTCGTATAAAAGTAGGATAATATATATATTTGAAATATTAATTTTGCAACGAAAGAGAATGAAAACATACAAAACTGCGTGCAAATATTAAAGATAATTTACATTTCTCAATACTATGATGTTTTCAGTAAATAGTAAAAAAGAAAACACTAAATAAAAGGTAAAATATTATCGCTGAACCAGCGCTGAATTGGGGTAATTTAATGACGATTTTTGACTTATTTTTAAATTTGTCAAAGAATTATAGATTAAAAATTTCTTTTTATCTAGCTTTGTCTATCAACAAGCCTTCCCATAAATATAAACAGGTTATATAACCGGTAACACAGTGAATTAATCGATGTCCCAATCGGGAGCGTTATAGTCTTGCGTCTGTCCATTACAGACGATCGACTGACTAGTGGATTCTAATCCAAAAATAATGGATTTCAAACATTAATAAGAAAACAAAAAACAGAGAAATAAATATTTGCAATTAACAGTAAAAATTTAGCTAATTTATATTTTATTTCATAATTGAAAATAAAAGCTGTTATTTTACTGTACTAAATTTCACAGGCTCTTTCCAAATCTATGAAGAACCCAATCCAGTATAAAACACATCAACGAGCGCAATGCAATTGAAAACGTTTACGTTTTACAGCGTTTCTGGTTACATATTTCAATAGGTTAGAGGCCAACTTTTACCACGTGCTTGTATATTTTTGCTGCCAAGAAATATATTATATACACAGCGTATTTATGGCGCTGCATAAGGAGGTAGTAAGTACAATGCAAAGTTGTAAGGCATTCAATGTTATTTTTTTGATAGGAGTGACAATACGTCTTTAGTCGTAGTCCACAGGTGGCTTTAGACATTTTTCATGGGAGTAAAAGATACACTGAAACTTGTTCTTTCTCGGAGTTGCATGAAAAATATAACAAAATATCGAACCTATAGGCAATAACATATAAATGTAAAAAGCTTTAAGGGTACATAAAAGAGCGCGATCTTTTTCGTAATTGTTTATCTAAGTATTTGGCAAAGCAAAATAAAAAATAAAAAGGACAATATATCTTTAAATAAATAACCAAATAATGCTTCATCTAACTATTATTATCAAAAACTTTCACAGACTCCAAGTACTGAAATATGCAGCACCAATAAGCACGGAGCAATAATCTATGTCTTATGTATTAAATAAGTATAATATAATGAGTGAGTATTGCCACTTGTCAAGCGTAGCAACCATGGCAGCACCCACATCCTCACCATAAGGGAATCTATAGTTAAGGCCTATGTTCAGCAGAGAACTTATGACAGACTGTAATGAATTATTGAAAGTAGGTATCAAGCTTAACTAATAATTAAGAATATTATTAAAATACACGTAGGACTATTATTATTAAAAATTACAGTATTATTGCTATTATCAAGAAATTTTGAATCTCTAAATATCTGGAAAACCCTGATCCGAACAAGTGACATCAACGAGCGCAATAGTCATTTTATTGAATGAGCTATAAGGGTCAGATTTAATTAATATTACTAGTTTTACAATTTAAACTTAAAGAAGGACAATGAAAATTGTATGTAAAAAGATATATTCGCTCTTGGAAACTGTTTTATCAAGAGCTTCAAAAGCTCTAATTTTACGGGGTACCTGTTTCCCGTACAAGCGACATCAACGAGTGCAACACAATGATCTTTAACCATGTAACTCGTATTACTTGATGTCTAAGTATTGTTAAGTAAACAAATTGATTACTTATTCTATTCGTAGTCGCTGCGAATGTATTTTATGAAAAATTGCTTATTACATGCAATCAACAGGTTTATGTAAATATTTTTATAATGCGGGGTTAAATATCTACTTATATTTTTAACAATCAATTAATGTTATAAACAGAGATATAAAACTCTGTTATTACTATGTTTAATTATTATGTATATGGATATGGATACTAAAAAAATAGTTTATAATTGTAATGTTTTCCTTTTTTATTTTAAAAATTAACGAAAAGTCAAATATTTGTTTAGAACTACAAAATTTTTAAACTTTGATACGTTCCATACGTTCATTTGATAGAACTTTATAAATAAATTTACTAACGGTATATTACCAACAGAATAAAACAACTTACGGTCATCAAGCTCTTCTTCATAATCTGAAAAATATTTGTCTTCATCTTTCAGTGCCTGATTATCCGGCTGTTGATAAAACCGTTCCGATTTTATATACATTTTTAGGTACATCACATCAAGTCTTTATTTTTTTTTTACAAATCCGAAATTACTTGTTCACTATTTACACAAAAAAAAAAAACACTGTTCTTACAAATAAAATTGTCACATTTATAAAATAAAAACCAAATAACTACTTTTATGGATACAATAGCGTTATTTTAATTCGCGAAATAAACTAAACACAGTTAAAAGGTAATAATAAACAAACAACGAGTATAAGTGAAAAATATTCAAAAAGTCTCATTCTATATTAGTACGCATGTAAAGTGTACACTGTACACCCCCGTAAAAATCGCAACAAAGATTAACAGGTTACGATCACGTAACTGCAAACGGGTAGCAAGACTCGGTAAAAGCGCGCGCCTCGACCGAGTTGCGCTCGCGCACTGCCCCGCGACCCGGCGGTTATCATGCCTTTGACGAAAAAAAAAACCTCACAGGTAGTGATCTCGTAGCCGGTCGCATTAACGGCAAATTGATTTTCATTTTGCTTGGGATTTCTATAATCTTACTTCAGATATTTGTTAAGGGTATTTGCTGTTTTTAATTCTGTATGACGATATACTATTGTACTGTATAAATTATGGAGCCATTTGATGCCATCATAAGATAATTTATAACTTGTCTCTTGAAATTGTTGATGTACGAGTAATTTTGAAACATTTAGGTCAATCATTAGGTGCTAGCGATCACCTCAGTCCCATAGGTTATTTCTTTTTATCAGTAATGTGTTCTTTAATACCGTAATAAACAAAAAAAACTAAAAACTTAAATTATCATACAGCCCCGCCCCGCAGTATAGTGCCAAGAAATCTGGCAGCGTTTACTCACTACACTTAACCTTTGGATCGAAAAAGAATAACCATAATTTAATATGTTATTTAAAATATTCACATTTTTAACACAACATTTTGTTATAGCAAGGAAACTGAGCATAAAATCCCGTGTTGGCACCATCGAAAATATTTATTTTTATTATTAAACTATGCTCACTATTGACCTCCATCTGTACTGAGGGAAAAATGAGGTCTATGATGGAGCGAGTTTGTCCCAGAGAAGCCTGTTAACACGCACCTTGAAGAGGTTAAGGTTATTATTATTATTCGATTATTGCATTTTCAAAATCTGATTTATCTCGTGCACTGCGATGTAGGAGAACATTACAGGGAAATCTGTAAAAACTTAAAATATTTCAAGTTCGTCTCGTTATTACTTGAGAAGTTTTATGTGTTTTTATAGGCTGTTTTTTTATAAAACTGAAGTGACAAATGAACTTACGATTCACCTACTGCAGCCGACTTCAAACAAAAACGGTTTTGACTACTACTACTAATCTCACAGCTTACACTGGCCAAGTACAAGCACTGCTATTTGGCTGAAGAAATATTCGTAGGTACTAGGATAGTAATGGATTCCTAGGTTGAAAAGTAGACCGATCACCTAGTTAAATCATAATTTGCTTTACTTTTACTAGCTAAAATTTTGAATAGATTTAATCTTATAGTAAAGTAAGTTACTGACACAAATTTGCAAATACAACTCTTACAGCAATCCTCCACTATGAATAAAAATGCAGATGCGTTGTCATACGTGAAGACTAATATAGAATGCCTCGTGTCCAGTAAAATTCACACACAGCAGCATTAAGCTGCTATTTTACGCTGGTATTCTGTGAGAGCGTGGTCTTTCCCGGTCGAGCCGACTCATTCGTGCTACAGCTATAGTACTGAAAAAGCTGCAGCATGGCTCTCCCACGTATAAAAGAAAAAAAATACTGGAAGGTTTTGCTCCGCCTGTGGCACCGCTCTCGAGCGGTCGCGTCTAGGTAGTCCGCACATCCGTCCCCGTACGGTAGTGCTCTCTCGCTCTCGCGCCTCCGCTGTCCTGCTCGCACTGTACAGTGCGACGCCTGGTGAGTCCTTTTTCGCTAACTCCAGTTATTACCTCCCTGTCTCCGGGCGGGGCGGTTTGACTGTTGGTCTTGCTTTTTAATTGTCATTTTTGTTTTTGTAATTATTTTATTGTTATTTATTGTAACGTGTATATTGTTTCAAGGGAGTTACTTGCTCTTTTCAGAGCAAGGCCCTGTTCTTTTGAGAACCAGGGCACAACTCCTAGAATAAAACCGTCCCGTTCTTCTCAGAACGGTGATCCCGCCCTTACTGTTTCTTAAGAATACGATCTGTTCTTTTCAGAACAGTGTCCCTTTGTCCCCCTAACGTACTTAACTTACATTCATACCGAAAATGTCGGATATGTCCGTCTTGATAGATTCAATCACCGAAACTTACTTTAGGCTCCGTAATGACCCGAAGGCTCTTACCGCAGCCATCTCCGCCATTCTGGCTTCCGCCAATCTGGCACACCTACATCTGCCCGTTATAGCGGCCCACTTTGAGTCCCAGAACTCATTCGCGCCTCTCGAAGTAGATATGGAGTGCTCCAACTCCAACTCCGACTCAGAATCCACGCTCCGGGGCTCCGGTTCTACGGAGTCGTCTGACTCAGACGGATCCGAAGAATCGGAGTTCACGACAGTGTCTTCCAAGCGCCGTAAACGCGCCGCGAAAAATCACACCGTTTCGGCGGCCCCTGCCGCCCCCGCAAACCCCGCAGCCCCCGTAGCTGCCTCAGTCCCCGCAGCTCCCGCTGCAGTTTCCGCGACACCACTGCCCAAGCCGGCCTCCCGCTGTGCTTCTAACCCGACTAAGAAGCAAGTCCCGCCCCCTGTCTTCTTACGAGACAAGGCACAATTCACCCGCCTCTCCAAAACCTGCTACGACGCAGGAATAAAATACGACCAAGCCACCAACCTCGGGGAGGCTATTAAAATCATCCCCAAATCTGTCGACGACTTTCGTCGTCTCACCAGGCTCTTCACAGCCGAGAAAGTCTCTTATCACACATACGCTCTTCCGGAAGAGCGCAAAATCAGGGCCGTCATCCGAGGCGTCCCTTTTGAAATTTCCAACGAGGAAATCCTTGAGGACCTTAAGTCCCAAGGATTCCCGGTTGAGGCTGTGCATAAAATGCACAGCAGAACGGGCTTGAGGTTCCCCCTCGCTCTCGCTATTCTTTCAAACGCTCCGGAGGCACAGACTATCTTCCGGCAGTTACGCACAGTGTGTGGGCTGTCGGGAGTTAGGGCTGAGCTCCCACATAGGCGCGGCTACCCGGCGCAGTGCCACCGCTGCCAGTTATATGGTCATGCGGCGGCCAACTGCTCCGCCCCACCCAGGTGCGTTAAGTGCCTCGACCCCCACAACACGAAAGAGTGTCCCCGGCCCAAAAATGCCGAATCTCCACCCGCGTGCGTCCTGTGCAAACAAACAGGCCACCCGGCTAACTACAGAGGCTGCCCTTGCGCACCTCACCCCCGCCCCATTAGGCACGCTCCACCGCCGGTTAATGCTAAGTCATTCCCGGCCCTCCCGTCAAGATTGCCACCTAAGAGATATTTTCGCCCATCTCAGGTAGACCCAAGGCCCTCCCAGGTCCCTCCCCCTCTTCTTCGCCCACCTCCGGGCTTCTCGCAACCATTACAGCCTCCAGTCTTTCCCTGGGGACCCAAAAAGGCCGACCCTCCGCGGTCGTCCCCCGCTGCACAGCATGAACAACCCTCAGTGGCTGATGATCTAAATACGGTGTACGCCGCTATTAAGAACATCAACATTGGGGAGATCACAGTCTTAGCACGCAAATTGCGCGCTGCCAAGTCCCCTCAGGACAGACTCCTTGCTCTTACAGAGCATCATAATCTTTTAAGTACGTTGTAAAATTAATTTAATCATTTCATCGTAAGGTAAATACGTCGGGTTAAAACTGCCTCCGTAGGCACTCACTAATTAAAACTCTCTGAAACTTCTTCAAAGTCTCAGAGTTTCATTAACATACTCGTTCGTGAGGTAGCTAAGTGTGCAACCCCACTCCCTCTCGCTATCGCATCCGCAGGCCGAGGAACTCCCACTCGAACCCGCCTATTCTCTGTCAAACGATTTGAACTACCTCCTGGTGGCTCAGTCAATTTCATAATTAAACTTTCATAAATAATTAACATTTTACAATCAAATTGCCTTCCCAGGCACTCCCTCAGCGGCTTATAGCCGCCTGCGCCCTCTTTTTCCCAAAAGAGGGTCGCTTTACGATACGGCATATGCAGCTTTAATAGAGCTAGTTGCCAGTCCCCAAAGGCGGTTTTTAGTGGGTATCACTTAGGTCCCCCGGTAGGCAGTGAGTCCCACATAACCACGATGGATAGCCATCGTGGTATGCGTAATGCATTTTCCGCCTCCCGTAAAGGGTAGCCCTTTCCAAATTGCTTCGGGCGCAAAAAAAAAAAAAAAAAAAAAAAAAAAGGAAGGTTTTAAATATGTTGAGAAAACAAAATTGGAGGAAAAGTTCAATGTAAGTACTTTTTTTTTAATTGAATATAATATATTTTAATAAAAGGTAAAAGAACTAAAAATAATTTTACGTTTTGAAGTCGGTGCTTAGACATAGTATACACTCGTAGAATAATGCTCTCGAATTCAGAACGTGAAATGTTAAACTTTTTTAGAACTTTTATTAAAAGTTACTTTTTACGCTTTAAGGTGGATAAAGAAATATTATCACAATATCAATGTCGTCTTGAAAACATCTTTTCCTATTTTAACATCTTTAGGAGTGGAATTTTTTATACATATTTTTATGGACCTCCCCTGAAGTACTACTATTTAATATTTATTTATTGCATTCCTTAATCTAAAAGAATACAAAGGGCGGACTTAATGCCTTGAGGCATTCTCTACCAGTCAACCCGTGGAGTGGTGAGAATTTGAAGTAGGTGCCATATAGAATAAAGACAAAATAGAAATGATAATTAATTACGTAATATATATATATATATATATATATATATATATATGTGTGTGTGTGTGTGCATATATATATGTGTATATATATTGCTAATATATACAATAAATAAACTATAAAAATATATCCTATTTATATATGTATACCAATATATACGTACATACATAAGCATACATATATTCATATCAACATACATAATATACAAATAGTACATATAAATAAGTATATACGTCTAAAAATATAAATGACATGGATGATTCATGTAAGAAGCGTTGTCTGGTTCGAAGTCAGCTAAAAATAAAAGTTGTAGACTTCTACATCTGTCATTTAATATGTTAAATAGAGTAAATTTCTTCATTAAGAAAATTAATACCCGTAAATTATTCTACGTACATCAGTGGACTATTGAGAGGCTGTAATGAAAGATGAATTGATGAATGAATAATGAATGAACTTAGTATAATATGTCACTTTTAAAATTAAATAAAAAAAGAAATAAAAAAAATTTGACGACATAAACAAGACAACTTTTTC